GAGAGAGGAGGCAACTGAGGTTAGGGGCCAGCTCAAAACATCTGCCTCACAGTGTGAGGCTGTGGGTTCTGGGTTTGGTCCCTATCACTGCCAAATAAGACAATAAAATATTTTTTAAAAATATATAAAAAAGGAGGAGTTGAGGAGTGAATATTTCAGTATTTAAGGACCAAGAGGTAAAAGTATGTATGTTGGCACAAGAGAAAGCAGTTTTCTTAATAGCCTAGACTAGCCTGAAACTCAGTCACCCTGCTTCCAATCCCCAGCCGCAGCATTCCCGAGTACTCGGATTACAGGTTTCTACCACCACACCTAGCTCTCCGCAGTGTATTATTGGCTTTATGGAAGTAGGGATAGAACTCAGAGCCTTGTTCATGGTTGGCACATGCTCTGCCATTGTGCCACACCCCAGTCCTGCATGATTTAACACAAGCAATCCAAAATATAGTGATTTAGTGTAATTTTGATGGCAAGGCTATCATTCCCTAAGCTAGGTTTGAAGATAATGTTCTCTAATAACCAACTGATGGCAAGACCAGACAGACAGCACAGAGTTCAGATAGTCATTTATGATGTGCAGCCTGGGACCCTTGACTTTTGGTCTTGTTCTTCCAGTGTACCTAAGGCAGTGACCATATTCAATTCCCCTTGCCCCCAACAACCTCAACTTTCCACTGACAACAGCTAAAGAGTCTTTCTACTTCTTCCACTGATGTGTTAATGATTTTCAGAACTCCAGCCACTTGGGCCAGCCCCTGAAGCAACACTGGACTTAGGAACTGGTGACGTGCTTATGGGTTCTAGCCTTTTCCCGGTTAATAGCTCTCAAGGGGCTCCAGGCAGACTGGGTAAGAGGTCACTAGGGCAATGTCTGAGACCTTTTTCTAGACCCCCACAGTAACTAATCTTGATAGTCAACTTGATAGGACTTAGTATCACCATGGAAACAAACCTCTGGCTATGTCTGCCAGGGGGTTTCTTTTCTATCTTTTAATTTTAATTCACTCAGCAAGAGCAAGAATGCATTCCTCCACTACCAAAAAGTATTCAATCAAGTTTATCCAGAGTGCAAAAGATAAGCGTTACCCTGGAAAGACTACCTCCTTGATCATAGTCTCCCCCTGCCAGGTAAGTGTATGTATGAGGAGTCTTCTAGATTAGACTGAGGTGGGAAGACCTACCCTAACATTTCATGGCTGAGGTTTTGCAGAGTAAAAAGGTATACTGGCAGTTTTGTGTGTCAACTTGTGTCACAGAGAAAGGAGCCTCCCTTGAGGAAACACCTCCATGAGATCCAGCATTTTTTCAATTAGTGATCAAAGATCAAGAGTGGGAGGACCCATTGTGGGTGGTACCCTCCCTGGGCTGGTAGTCCTGGATTCTAGAAGGAAGTAAGCCAGTAAGTAACATCCCTCCATGGCCTCTGCATCAGCTCCTGCTTCCTGACCTACTTGAGTTCCTGTCCTGACTTCCTTTGGTGATGAACAGCAATGTGGAAGTGTAAGCTGAGTAAACCCTTTCCTTTCCAACTTGCTTCTTGGTCATGATGTTTTGTGCAGGAATAGAAACCCTGACTAAGACGAAAGGAGATGGTAATATAAGCATTGTATCCATCTCTTTCTGCTTCGGGTTGCCCCATGCTCCAGCTGCCAAGACTTCCCAGCCATGACAGACTGGACCTTCAAACTGTGAGCTAGAAAGAAACCCTTACTCCTAGTAACTTGTCAGATGTTTTCTCACAACAATGAGAAAAATAACTAATACAGGCCCCAAGACAAGACTTCAAACATCTCATGCCATCTGCTCTTTCTACAGTGTGCCATCTTTGACTCTCCAGTTAGATCCACTTTGGTATGAGAAAAAAAAAGGTATCAGTTTAGTCTCTATTCCTGTGGCCCATGTAGAGCTATCACTTGAACAGGGGCCACCAGAAAGCCTGATGGGCTGAAAGTCAGGGGCCAAAATCTAGTCCTGTTTCTCCCAGCACCTCATAAATTATTCTAAGTGACTTGGTTGCCTCTATATCCAAGCATGACATTTGGGAAACATCTGGTCATGATCTTCCTCTAGAACTAGATAGTGTTAGTGCCAGGAAAATGGCAGAACAGAAGGGTATCACCCAGTCCTGCTGACAGGAAGCAAGAGAACATGGGGGAAAGTAGAGGGACTGACTGTAAGAGCAGGAAACCCAAATGCAGACCAAGATGGTACAAGGAACAAAATATCAGCAATGATCCCACTATGTTCACAGAGATCCAGGAATCAGAGGTCTCCAACAAAGACTGCCTACAGAAGCTCTAGTCCTTTCAGGAATTAAAGGTAAAAATAAGCAGATACTCACATGCAAAAGGATGAAACTAGACTATCCTACTACATATCATATATGTAAAACTGTCTGAGATCAGAGCAGAACTCATTGTAACAACTAAAGCTTTAATCAAGTTCTAAGAAGGGGGCAGGAGAGATGGTTCAGTGGTTAGGAGCACTGACTGCTCTTCCAAAGGACCAAGGATCAATTTCCAGCACCCACATGTCAGCTCATACCTGCCTGTAACTCCAGTTCCAAAGGATCTAATATTCTCACAGGGGTCTGTGTATGTATGTATACACATGCACACACACACATATATATACCAATGTGCAAAATACCAATGCAATACAATGAAAATAAACATTTTTTTTAATTCTAAGAAGAAAACACAGATTTTCCTGAGTTTGCATTAGGTCGTGGTTTCTTAGCATCCACATCAAAAACACAAGCAACAGAAGGTAACTCAGGCATCACACACATTAAAATAATAATAATGACAATTGTGTCTGAGACTGGGTCTTACTATGTAGGCTGGGCTGGCCTAGGACTTGGGATCCTCAGTTGAGTACTGGGAGTGCTGGTTCATACCATCAAGCACAACCAATTTATAAACTTGTACACCCCAAGGAACATCAACCATTAAGAGGGTGAAGACAGCCTACAGAATGGAGCAGAATAAAGAAAAAACGATGAAGGATTTGCACTTAGAATTTACCAACAACTTACACAATTCAATGAAAAGACAGCCCAATTTAAAAATGGGCATAGGACCTGACCAGACATTTTCCCAAAGATATACAAATGGCCAATCAACGTGAAGAGACATTGAATATCATTAGCCAGAGATATGCATGACACCTGCTGGATATTGTAATAAAAAAAGACAGGCCAACACTAGGGAGGTGGCTCGGCTGGTAGAGAGAGCTCTTGCCTAGCAAGCACAAACCCCTGGATTCTGGCCCAGCACTGCATAAACTAGGTGTGGAGGCACTTTTCTATATATTCTTAGCACTTAGGAAGCAGAGGCAGGAGGATCAGAAGTTCAATTATCCTCTTCTACTTAGTGACTTTGAGGCCAAGCTGGACTACACAGAAGGGAGGGACGGAAGAAGAGGGAGAGGGAGGGAGGGAGGAAGGGAGGGAGGGAGGACAGGCAGGCAAGAATGAGATATCACAGCAAATGTTGCTGAAGAGGTGGAGAAACTAGAACCATCCTCCATTGCTGGTGGTAATGCAAACAAACAGGTGTAGCTATGTGGGAAACACGAGGCAGTTCCTCAAAGAGGTGAAAAGTTACCTTAGAAGCTGTCCATTCTACCAGGCATGTTCCCAGAATGAAACCCTGTCCACACAGGAGCCTGTGCCAATATATTCACAGCACCAGCGTCTCAATAAAGCTGTCAACCCCACCCACACGTCCCAAAAGACAAGGAACTGAGAGCCCAGCTTTGCTGTGAGGGTAATTTCTCTGCCTGTAAAATAATATTTGCCAAAACCTTTGGCAAATCTTTGAGCCTAGAAGGAACTCACCGTGGCTCGAGGAAACTTAGAGTTAGGAAAGAGTTGGTCGAAGCTTTGGGTGGGCACAGATCCTTGACAAAATGAAGATGAATTCTTAAGTCTACCATAGCTACTGATCCTCAAATTTCCCCAGAGTTAAGAAAAGTGATTGATCCAACCATGCCAACAAAGACAAAGCACTAGCTATACACTTACAGTTGGGAAAACACAGAATCTTAAATGAGCACTGAAGAAAACACACTAACTACCCGGGCTACTTTGCAAACCACACTGGTTAGCTGAGTTGTCTGAAAAGGGGACTTCAGTAAGTACCTCCTGCTGTAGTACTGGGATGGTGCCCAGGGCCTCATACTTGCCAGGGAGGGATCTACTGAGACATACCCCAACCAAAATGGTCTAGAATGGACGGTCAAGGCCACTGGATAATGAAATCTTTACCTCTTAAGTACTTTTTACTCAAGAGGAAATGAGACTACACAGTAGTAGTCCAAGAGGAATCATTCTGTTCTCATCTCTCTCCACTGGTGAAGGAGGAAGTCATGTCATCTCCTAGTCCATCGCACCAACTACCAACTGTGAGAGGGCGCATGGGCAAAATGTGTGGCTTGAATGAGAAATGTGTCCTATAGGCTCATGTATTTGAACATATGGTCTCAGTTGGTGATGTTGTCTGCTGAAGTTACAGGACTTTTAGAGCACACAGTCTTGCTGGAGGAAGTATATCACTGGGGATGGTAAGCCTTGAGGGCTTGTACCACTTCCTGTTCTCGCTCTTTCTCTGTGCTTCCTTTGTGTATGAAAATGAGATCAACTAGCTTTCTGTTCGGTACCTTCCTCACCACAATAGTCTATCCCTACAAAACTTTCAAGCCAAAACAAGCCCTTTCTTCACCAAGTTGCCTTTGTCAGAGTATCTTATCACAGCAACAGAAAAGGAGCTAACACACAATGGCCATGAGAGGCCACGTAGGTACATTGCGCCATCTACCATGTCAATGCAGAGACTCTGAGCTTGAATGTAGCAGATCCTTAGATACAAGGGAACTGAGAAAGAAGTGGAAGGCACAATAAATAGCTCCAGTCCTACCAGTTCATCCAAGAACAGGAGTGGCATGGCTACCAGGGTCCTGAGACCCTGTATTAAGCCAGTATTAGGAGGAGAGCTGTGTGTGGTGTCCCTGTGAGGTTGGCAAAGCTAGCCATGAAGACAGAGACTCGAGAAGAAGGTGCAGGATCAGGGTGAGGCAAGAAAATAGTTAGGAAGGACCAATACACCAAAGGAGCCTCCAACTACAGGGCTCAGGGTTTTAAGAGATGCATGTTCCCACTGTCTGCCTGGGAAATAGAACAAGAAACTGTTAAAAAGCTAAAAGCCAAGAAGAAAGGAAAAGGGGACCAACTGGCTTTCTGTATGCCAGACTTTGTGTCCATGGTCGTCTGTAGCTTTCCTGGTCTGGGCAGAGTCCCTTCTGGTCTGAGCTTGTCAGGTGAGACAGCTGCTGACAGTGGTGCACCTTCTACAGCCAGAGATCCATGGGGCGGGGACAGGCACAGGCACTGCTGCTCAGAGTCCACACTTCAGGATGATGTGGTAGCCATCATTACTTTCTGCTGGAAGAGAAACACTGAGCATAGGTGTGTGTCACAGGAAGAGAGGTGGTACAGTGTGATTTAGGTGTCACAAAAGGCATGTATTAAGACAAAGGCAAAAAATCACTCAACTTCATAAGGAAGAGTCTGTTTACAGAAGCATGGATTTCTACACAGGTTTTGACATCTGTCAATTTGTGTGTGTGTGTTTGTGTGTGTGTGTGTGTGTGTGTGTGTGTGTACTAGTGCAGAATCCAAAAGATAATCTCAGGTATCATTCCTTAGCAATTGTCCACCTTGTGTTTTTGGGACAGGGTGTCTCATTGGTCTGGAGCTCAACAAGTAAGCTAGGCAGGCTGGCCAGTGAGGCCATCTCTGTCTCACCAGGCAAGGATGGATTACAAGCACATACTACCAATGCCCAGCTTGAAAGCAAAACAAAACAACAATATCATGGATTCTGAAGACTGAGCTGGAGGCTTCACACTTGCATGGCAAGCACTGTATTGACTGAATGATCTTCCCAGGCACTCTGGTTTCTACAATGAACCTTTTCACCATAGCCCTAGGCCCAAGGAGGCTTTAGGCACACTATGGCTTTCTGCAATGCTATGACTCAGGCTCAGAGACCTGTAAGATTCATTGTTTGTGCTATATTTAGGATCTTAAGGCCCATGTGTGTAAGGTTTAGTAACCAGCTTATGCTAGCGAATGATGATGGAACCTTTAAGGGGTGGAGCCTAGTGGGAGATAGTACCTCCTCTTCCTTCACTTGCCAGCTGTACTGAAGGGAACAGAGCAGCTCACCACACTCACACCATCACCTGCTGCCTTGCCACAGGGCCAAATGCAACAGGGCTAACCGGCCATGGCTGAAACCTCCAGAACTAAGTCCAAACAACCAACCTCATGCATTGTCACAGTAACAAAAAGCTAACTAACATAGCCTAGGTCTCTAGAACAGGGTGGGAGGTTGTCTCAGATCAGTCTGGACCTAGTCTGTCTCTGTCTGTCTGTCTAGGTGCAAATGAATGAAGTAACTGCAATTGCAGAGCTCAGAAAAGGGCTTTGAATCCCCTGAAGCTGGGGCTATATATAAGTGGTTGTGAACCACCAGATAGGGGAGCTGGGAACCAAACTTGGGTGCTCTGTAAGAGCAGTTTGTGCTCTCATCCACTGAGCCCCTCTCCAGCTCAAGAAAGTCACAACCGATCTTTCTCTGCCTTGTGTGAATAAACATAGGCTCACTCTCGGCAGAGTATAGGCGTTCTCTACAACATCTAGCTCAGCTGGATTCTTCAAGTCCCTTACTCACTCTGACCATCATGCTAGTCCTTACTTGGGCCTCCCAGAGACAGTCTATGAAACTCAAACACCATGTTCATAGAGGACAAATGGCCAGGCCTGCAGTGTCCCTTAAGATGTCACTCATTCTGGCTTGGCTAGGACTAGGTATGAGAAGACTTAGTTTTTCTTGCTCTCAAAGGCTGTTCCAAGTTCAGCATTTTCTGGAGGGACCCTGTACTCGTAGATCTCACCTGCCACCCATCACCCATGACACCAAAGGGCACAGAAACAGTCATCAGGAAGGCAATGAGACGTTTACCTTTTAACGTGCTGAGGATAAAACAAGACTCATCTTGGAAATTCTGAACCATCTGAAAGGCAAAAGCAAGACATGTTCTTCTCAATGACATCTTCATATCATCAAAAGGTTTGAAGAGGAGTTGGAAAGACAGACCCGTCAGCAAAGTGACTGTTGTGTGAGCAGGCAGGAGGCACCAGAGTTGCCATTCAGGGTCTCCTTTGACCTCCACATGCACAAAATAAAAGTTAGTGAAAAATAATAGGCAGGTAGTGGTGGCATAGGCCTTTAATCCCAGTGCTCAGGAGGAAGTAGAGGCAGGTGGATCTCTGTGAGTTCAAGGCCAGTCTGGTATACAGAGTGAGTTCCAGGATAGCTAGTGCTCTGATACACAGAGAAACTATCTCCAAAAAAAATAAAAGATAGAACATTTATTTGTTTATGTGTTGGGTCATCTAGGTCTTTACTGGACTCATTAAAGGAAGGTTTATGCTTCAACAAAAAATATATTTTTTAAAAAGCTGAACACAAAACCAGACATGGTAGTTTACACTTTTAATCCCAGCATGTAGCCAGGCAGTGGTGGCGCACGCCTTTAATCCCAGCACTTGGGAGGCAGAGACAGGCAGATTTCTGAGTTTGAGAGTTCGAGGCTAGCCTGGTCTACAGAGTGAGTTCCAGGACAGCCAGGGCTACACAGAGAAACTCTGTCTCAAAACAAAACAACAACAACAAAAAAAAAACCCAGCATGTAGGTGGCAGAGGCAGAGAGGCAGAGGCAGAGAGGCAGAGGCAGAGGCAGAGGCAGAGAGGCAGAGGCAGGTAGATCTCTGTAAGTTTGAGGGCAGGCTGATCTACAGAGCTAGTTCCAGACCTGTTAGGGCTATTACATTGTGAGACTCTGTTTCAAAAACAAACAACAAAATCAAGCACACAGTCAATCCCATTTTGGTCAACAACAAAACACATATACAATTGGTGGAGCTGAAAACTTCTCATTGCTAGTGGCACCATCTCCTGGTAACACAGTAGCACAATTACTCATGTCTGTGGTGAAGGTGTAAGCAGCCTACTATGTTGCCAGTATGGTACAGATGACACACAGTACACACTTGGTAGTGACTCTAAATGACTCCACTGCTGATTTACACATGTGACACATCATCCTTTGTGCTACTATTTTAGAGTGTCCCCACACACACCAGTCCACTCAAGTGCATTGATGCTATGCTCAGAACTAACTAACAGTGATTAATGTGTGTCAGCAGCTTTATAGGGACCAAAGAGAAAGGAGCGACTACTACCACATGATCAGGAAAGACAGTGTACAGCCACTTCTCCTAAGCTCTCACTATGATATCCAAACACTGACCACAAGAAAATCTTTCTGGCTCCATGGTCCCATCTGTAAAATGGGGCCTTAAAAGCCATGGTGAGTACTGCCTGAGGAACAACGGCAAAGGCTATCCTATAGTCTCCACAAGCACACAAACATGTGTGTACCGCTCCAACCCCTAAGGAGCACATTAGGGAGAGAAGAGGAAATGATTAGTATAAAATTCACACGGACAGGCAAGGGCCAAAGATGATACCAGTCTACAAAGAGGTTTATAACCATCAGAGTCTAGTGACCTGGGTGCAAGACCTTAAATATTGATTAAAATTGCGAGTCAGGGCAGTGAGGGAGCCAGTGGGTAAAAGCACTTGTCATGTGAGCCTTGTAGACCACCAAGTTTCATTCACAAAACCCACTCACACACAATGTCCTATGATTTCCACACACACACATAAGTAAAATAAGTTTTAAAAACAAAATTTACATTAGTTTTATAGAACCTTTGTATGTGCATGCTACATTTCAGAATACATTCAGAAACAGTTAAAAATATAAACATATACATAAATATGCATGCCAAAACCAACAGGGTAGCAAATCTCCTTTCTATTAAAAAAGGAGCCCACAATTTATTGCCTGCTCTGAACTACTGCCTTAACTCCTACCGATGCATCCACCTGTCGCCCCTGACCCTCCCCGCAGGGCCTAATGGTGCATGAAGTACATTTATTCTATACCTCAGCCTGCTCCAGCTCAGACTCTTGGCCACCCAGCCACTTGGGCATGAAAAGCCCTAAGCAGGGCCCACAAGGGCTTAATCAGTAACTCCCTTGTTTAATTGAGTGCCCTTGCACCCCAGGAGCTGGCTCCTTGCTGGCCAGGCTGCCTCCAGCACTCTGAGTAATTCAGAGCTGAAGGTTTCCAAATTGATTCGGGTTGAGTGGGAAGGAGACTTGGGGAATGAGAATGGCCTACTTAGCCAGGGTGGCATTTGAGGTCTGTTCTCTGCTTCACTTGCTTAACTGCCTGCTGTTGAGGGCGCAGGGCAAGTGGGGGAGGGACTTCCTCAGGAACCTGGAAAGTTGCAAGAAACATTCATGGTTTTTGTCTTCTCAAAAAGAAATCCTCGGGGGTCTGAGGATGAGGCTCGAGTGCGTGCTTACTTAGTGTGTACAAAGCTCTGGAGTCTGTCTCCAGCACAGCGTAGAGCAAGCATAGTACAGTACATGGCTGTAATCTCAGCACTATAATCCCAGAACTGGGGAGGGGGAGGTGGCAGAATCAGAAAGTCAAGGTTATCCTTGGCTACACAGTAAGTTCAAGGGCAGCCTGGGCTTCCGATCTTCCTTATGGTGCAAAGTGACGTGCCTTCTAGTCCATTAGAGTGGTCTACCACTAAGGCCATTTCACTCTCCTAGCTTCTCTTAGTCAGCCCTAGAGGCAGGAACTTCTGGTCTCATCATTTTCTGTGAAATGGGAGCAAAAAGTAGCTACTTTAAACTAGACCTGGTGGTACAGGCCTGTAGTTCCAATACTCACAAGGCAGTAGCAAGATGACTGTAACATGATTAAGGCTAGCCTGGTCTACATAGTGAGTTCTGGGCCAGTCAGGGTTTTACACTGCCACAAAACAAACCAGAACAGAACAAGGAAGTGCAACTTCATTGAGCTGGGCTTGTTGCATACTCTTCTAATGGCATTGGAAGACAGAGGCAAGCAGAGGACTGTAGCAAGGTCAAGGTGAGCCTGGTCATGTATGAGTTTCAGTTTCATAGGAGACTGTCACAAAACCAACCAACCAAACAAAACCATAGCTCCCATTTCTTAAGAGGTGGGTTTCTACCTTAACTTCAACCCTATTAGCTGAAGAATCTCTGGGCAACTACTCAGTATCTTTGTGCCTCAGTTTCCTATGTATACTATGGGATGTTAGCAGACATGTATATGTATATATGCGTGTATATACACATATATGAATATCATATACATATTATTTAATAATACACAATGCATGTGCAATGTAGACATATATATGTAAGCCGGAGTAGCAGCCAGGACACAGTGGCTATGTGACCGTGACCATGGTTTAGATATGGAGTGTCTCTCAAAGGCCCCTGAGCTGAATGCTTGGCCTTGGCCTCTGTGCTACTGAGATGTGGAGCCTTTAAGAGGCTGGACCCAGCAAAAAGAAGTTAGGTCACCAAGGTTGGTAGTGAAGGGGATATTGGGACTTAGTGTCCCACATCTACTCCCTTCTTGGCCATAGTGAGATCACTTTGCTCAGCCACTCTCCTGCCATGATAGCTTCTATCTCTCCAGCACTGGGGTGGCACTGCAGTTTACCACTATGCCCAGCTTTTGACATGGGCTCAGGACATTGAACTCAGGTGCCCATCCTTTCAAGGTGAGTGAGTGAGCCTCTCCCCAGACTGAACCATACTTCTTAAGTTCATGATCCCAGATATTTGTTACAGTGCCAGAACACTGGCCAATACAACACCAAACACACATTTTTGTTAGTGGAAGGAAGATCCAGGACAGAACAAGCTTAAGATCATCTGTTCCATCATGGGCAAGGGATGCTCCATTTGGCAGTCAAGTCTGCTCAATACATCACTCTTTACTGGGCTGGAGCAAGATTCTGGCAAGGCTCTGTCACTTCCTGAATCGTCTGTTAGCAACTATTTCCACCTTCCACAGGACTGTGTTGAGCACAAACTCGGTGATACATACCTTCATCACTCAGGGAGGCCTTGCTAGTGTCTCCCATGGGCCATAGTAGCCCCTCATTTAACTACTGGACACTCAGGGCATGATTCCTACTTGATGAGTGGCCCATTCTTCAGACTGCATGTGCCACAAGAGCACCCAGCCAAGGACACTTGAAGAAGGCTGTCCTCAGAGTGTAACAGCCATTAGCATCTTAGTCACAGAAGCTATGACTATCCACAAGAGACCCTCAAGATAGAGCCTGTGGGGCCAAGGAGATGAGTAAAGATGCTTGCCCCAAGTCTGACCCCTTATTCTCACATGGAAGAAGGACAGGACTGGCTCCTTCAATCTGTCCTCTAATCTCTGTGTGTGCATTGTACCCTTGTACCCACTCACCTTCCTACCACCCCAAAATAAACAAATAAATAAATGTAATAAAAATGTCTGTAATTATAGGGCTTGTTGCCAGTCCCTTACAGAGGGAGAGGGACATGAGGAAGGTTCTTGGCTCCTCACATGGGACTCCAGCTGATTTTGCACATCTCCCCACTCAGGTTCAAGTAACTAGTTTGGAAGGTAAACTGAAAGAGAGACTCCATCTATGTAGCTATGGGGACAGACTTTTGGTGATATGGCTGTTTTGGAGTCATCTATGCTACTGTTAGTAAATACAATAAATTAATCAGTTTTGGAATTGTTACTTAAGTCTGTTGTTGACACCCTAAGAAAACATTTGTTCATATTTTTCCAGGAAAAGTCACACAACATCGACTCAGCAGCCCTTTAGACCCAGGTGTAGTAAGAACTTCCCCTTGCATCATAGGCAGCCAGTAGGATTTCAGCTTCAAGCAGGCAACATGCATAAAAAACAGAGACACCCTGACCCCCGGTAAAGGATGCTCCTGAGTGGGGATCTGGGGCTCTCCCCGAGGGCCAGGTCAGCTCACCTCATTGCTTACCACCACATGGATACCAGCAGGACCCTGCCGATAGACCCGGTGGATGTGCTGTGCGGGAATGCTGTACAAGCTGGCGATCTTCTCTGTCAGCTCCAGGGTAGTCAGCTCTTCCAGGAAGATAGCATGGTATACTGTAGGGGGAGGAGCAAGTGCCTTCTTTTAAAGGGTCATTAATTAACAAGAACCTGCCTTGTTTCTACCCCATTCTGAGAAGCCAAAGCTTACATGTAAAGGATGCTCGTGCCCCTAGCCATGGATGCCTGTCAAGCTAAGAAGGCTGGTAAAGCCTACTGACAGGTAAACATAGGTTAGCTGTTTTCATCTCTCTTGAGAACATATATTGGTTCCTGGGCCCAAACAGGTGAGGAGCCCTGATTCAGATGCAGTGCTCGTTGTGTACCCTGCACAGTGGAAAGGGGAAGCACTAAGTCACCTTTCTGCTGGTGGCAGAAAGATATTTAAAGGCGATTGCACCAATATTCATTGTTCTCTGTTCTCTGCTTTCTCACTTTGGATTCAGTGTGAGCAGTTGCCTCCTGCTGCGTGCCTTTCCCTGCTGTGCCTTCCCCACATCGATGAACTACCATCAGACTGTGAGTGGTAAGAAACCCTTCCTTCCTAAGTAGCTGTCACAGGTGTCAGGTATTTTGTCACAGCAATGAGAAAAATAACTGAAACATTGAGAACAGAAATTAAGCAGCAGGCTCAGGAGTCAGGTTGAGGCCCTATTCCACTCACCACACAGGTTGTTGTCCCCATTGTCATCCTGCTTCTGTGGCAGGGGTAGTTGGTTCTGCTCTAGCTCCTGACAGACATAGATGGTCATCTTTGGCCTCACATTTCTTGGAGAGAGAGAGAAAGAGAGAGTGAGGAGAGAGAGGGACAGAAAGAGAGAAGAAGGGAGGGAGGGAAGAAGGGAGAGAAAGAGAGAGAAAATGAATAATTTGCTGATATGATGGACTGTTGCTCTAAAATGTTCTAGAATATTCCAAAACCTAGAGAAGACCCTGCAACATAAAGGGATTTAGGGAAGAAGCAGGTGGTAGGGACGGAGAATGCTTTTCATGGACAGGTTTCCAGGAATAGAAGAATCCAGTCCTGATGGATCTTTACGGCTTCACAGAAGGTGTTCTGGAAGAGGTGGGGTAGATGATTCTTCCCAATCTGCCAATCTGAGGCTTTTCTGTTGAACTGAATCTCGGGATCAGCAGTTTTGAGAGGTGGTCTGGTGGTGTGGGATGTAGGTGGTGGCAGAACATGTGCACAGTATGTGTGCAGCATGTGTGCAGCCCTGGGTTCCATCCCCAACAAGGGAGAGAAAAGAGACAGAGAAAGAACCTGACAGACAGAGAGAGTTCCTCACAGGAGGGTCATCTCTCTGATTCCACATACAGGGAAGCTGAGGTTCAGAGGGGCAATGGCTTTTTTTCTTTCATTGCACAGCTCTTCGGAGATAAATCTGGGACTTATCCTCTATTAACCGTACTGTTGCCAGCTGTCCTTGGTGCTCAGGAGCAGCTCAAAGACAGAGCATGTGCCTGGCATACACAAGCTCTGGGTTCTAGTCTCAGCACCAGAAAAAATGAAAAGTACAAAACTTCAAAACTGGGTCTGACTGTGATGGTAACTCTAATACCACAGTAAAGGTTTCACTTGGCCAGAGATTTCTGGACTGTCACAGAATATTCCATTTCCGTGGTGGTGGACAGTTCTATTGGACAGCATTGCTCTGAACACTGCACTGTGGTTTTCAAGGCCATGCCCAGCCCCCGGGGAGTTGGAGCTCTCAGCCTGGACTCTGCCAGTGTCCAGAGTCTGGGCTAGTGACTAAAGGCCAAGATCCACAGGCTCTGGGCCCAATGGAGGAGAGGGAGGCTGTGATGGTTAATATTAATTGATGATCTACAATCACCTAGGAGACAAACTTCTGTGAGGGAGAGTTTTTAGATAGGGTTACTGGATGAAAAGGCCCACCACAAATGTAGGCAGTGTTATCTCATGACCTGGGTCTCCTACTGCAGATGGAGAGGAAAGTAATCTGAATCCCCAGCATTCTTCTCTTTCTGCTTCCTGACTTGAAGACACACATGACCAGACACCTCCCACTATCAAAGCCATGACTTCCTTATCATGATGAGGTACTGGTGAGTGGAGGAAACCCCAGGGACATGTGTGCTGTGGACATGACCTGCTATGCCAAGGGCCCATGGGAAATGGTGATGCCTTGCTCTGGAGTGGGGCTCAGAGTCCATGTATGAATAATGATAGTGGGTTCAGAAAATATCTACCATGGAGCCACCCACCCTGGATATTTATGGCCTACAGACTGTTCCTACGAAGATTAGCTAAATCTGCCTCCTTGTTCAGCTGCATACTGTAGACCCTCTTTCCTGTTTACCCGTATGCACTAAGCCTTGTTCAGCTGCATGCAATAACCTCACCTCCCTGTACAACTCTCATAAACACACTGAGCCTCCGGGCTGCTGAGGTTTCTCCATCAGAGAGCCCTTTCTCTCTCTCCAAACCCAGCTTTCCTGTACATGCGACTGTCCTTTCTTCATTCCTTAGAGGCCAGTCTAGTCCATCCCTTGAGATGTCAGGATGTGTGTGACATTGTACCTTCAAACCATGAGCCAAAATAAACCTTTCTTTCATAAGCTGACTTAGTCATTTTGTCACAGTGATGAGAACAGTAACTAGTGCTGAGATATTTGGAGCAAGGGCTGCTGCAGCCAGACACTAAGGTGGCCTGCACATCGCACCTCATTTACACTCCACCCTTCTGGTACCTCCTCCAGCATTTACCTCCATGTTGACAGAAGGATTCCTTTCATCACCTAGGCCTACCAGCAGTCCCACCACAGTTCAAGAGGCTAAGGTGGGGCTTCTTGCTCTACACAGCCAGCCTAGTGGCTGCAGTCTTTGGTTGGCTTCTCTAAGAAACTGCACTTACCTGCCTTTGATGGCATTAAAGAGCCGAATTCCATCCGCAGGGCCACAGACCTGGACCAAATCATCTCTGGACATCTTCAGCAGGTCAGCACCTAAGCAGAGACATGTACCACTCATTACAGGCAAATAATGTCCATCTCACAATAGGGCTGGGGGACAAAGAAGGGCCAGCCTCACCCTCAGTGGGCACCAGACCTTCCACAGAGGGAAATGATGTGAGGATAAACAATCCTAGCAGATCACAGCCATACAATATCAGAAGCTAAAAGATAGTGTGTTCACAAGAGAAGAGAAGTCCACCCCCACGGCCACCCTACCCGTGCTGTGCTTGACTGCCCAACCCCCTCTCTGCCCTCTTCATCGGCACAGATTTTATCAGCATGCTGCCACCAAAAACATGTGTATATCTCTGTTCAGAAGCATACAGATCCCTGGAAGTTGACAATACAAACACACCCTGGGAACCAACCAGCACAAACCAAGAGGCAAAAACACTAGTCTCCCAAGAGACAGCCATGGACAGACCTAGCACCCCATTTGAAGGGGCAGAGGAAGGTCAACAGTGTGAAGTCTTTAAAGATTGGGAGTCCCCCAGATCCTAGTTCTCCAGAGATGACCCCCCTCTCCCTTTCCCCACCGCCCTCTCCTTCCCTCTCTCCTTCCCTCTCTCCTTCCCTCCCTCCCTCCCTCCCTCCTCCCTCTGTCTCATGACTTGGCAGAAGTAGCTGCTAACACAATGGCTCCCCAAATCCAGCCCCCACTTTTTCTTTTCTTTGAGACAGACACAGTTTCATGTAACACAGGGTGGCCTTAAACTATACAGCTGAGGTAACCTAGAACTTCTCACTCTTCTACTTCCTAAGTGCCCTATTCCCAATTCATGCAGTGCTGAACAATAGAACAGAGGGCCTCCTGGATGCTAAGCCTGAAGTCTACTACCTGAGCTACTGCTTTAATCCAGAGTAGTTAGTAAGGCCAATATCCTTCTGTGGTCCTGCCAGAATCCAGATTACTGCCCCTAGTGACCTGACCTCCCTCATTGCTTCCCTGGTTGTTCTGTGGCACTCACCTCATTGAGGGCTCCTCTGGACACAGCCATAGTCCCATGGGACCAAGAGCAAGCTATAACGCCTGTGGATTCCAAACCTAACTCTGCAATACTCACCTGAGAAGCTGGCGAAGAGCCAGCAGAACTGTGAGAAGCGGTTGCGGTGCAGCCACTGCTGTGCATCCTGGATAGAGGCTGATGGGAGCAGGTGCTGCCATTGAGAGACAGAGAAGTTCAAAATGGCCACAGAGCCAGAGGGACCACAGCCCACCAATACCCATGCACACTTACATCACTGCCCAGGGGTAAGGGCTCCACCGGGTGATTAGGTGAGCTGTTACTGTAATAGAAAGGGGACAGTTGATGAGCATGAGTACTTCCAGGGACACAAAGAAGGTTCCAGAATCTACATTCCAGCAAGTGCGTGACTTGCTTTAAATAAGTCTTACAAGACTTCCAGAATCAGTACAAATATTAGACCCAATCTTTCTCTGTGAATGTCTCCTGCACTCAATTGTCACTGCATGACTGCACGGGAGCTTTAGATGGGTCACACTTTCCCAAATAACAGCGATAGCTCTACCTGTGTAGTCTTCAACAACAATCAAGAAGGGCTTGTCTGTTTTGACTGGATCTTGTTCTGCATAGTGGAGCCTTACCCTTGTGATGGTCCACCTTGATTGGACTTAGAGAGTCACCATGGAAACATATCTCTGAGCATGTCTGGGAGGGAGTTTCTATATTAAATTAATTAAGGTGGAAAGACCCACCCTAACTGTGGGCAGCACCATCCTGTGTGCTGGGGTCCTGGACTAAGTAAAAAGGAGACAGCATCCATCTCTCTGCTTCCTGACTACAGAAACAATGTGAGCTGCTGCTTCTAGCTCTGTCTGCCAAGGCTTCTGCACAGTGATGGACTATCTCTCCTTGAATTGAGAGCTGAAATAAATCCTTCATTAAGTCACTTCTTGAAGTATTTTTGTTCCAGTGCAAAAAAAAAAAAAAAAGGCTAAATACCCACCACATTCCAGCCTAAGGAAAGGACAAGCTGACCAGAGCACAGGCCTTCAACTAATTCAGCACCTAGGAAGCTGCAGCTGAACCGAAATCATCAACCGAGTCCTAGCCAGATAGGCATGTAAGGGCTACATGTGGTGTACACATACACACACAATCCATAGGTTGGCCTGGGTTTTCTCAGTAGGAAGGCACAGGAGTGCTTACCATGCAAGCACGTTTGATACCCAACACCCACATTAAAAAACTGGTGCGGCGGACATGCCTCTAATCCCAGTACTGGGACGTGAGACAGAAGCTTCACTAGAGAGCACTGGCCAGCCAGTCTCACCAAATCAGTGAGCTCCAGTGAGAAGCCCTGTATCAGAAAGTGAGGTAGAGAATGACAGAGATGCCTAACATCAACTCCTGGCTCCTACCTGTACATGTATGCACACCCACACATACACACATATACATACAAGACTCTTGCAGATGAGCCTCACCCCAGCCATCAGCTGTAACAGCAGCCCCTCCACTATCTGTATCACGCACATCCTGGATCCTCACACCCTGTGATGAAGCCCCAGCCCCCCTTCTGCATCAGGCAAAGCAGGACTTAGGGAAGTTAAGGAAGTTCCCCTAAGGTAGACATTAAAGAGCAGGTCTGCCTGATCTAAATGACCCTTTTTGGTTTTTATTCTATACTCATGAGAAGACATACCACAATGTAAAATCAAGTTCACATAGACCTCCTTTGGCTTGAGATCTCCTTGAACTTGCTATATAACCTCAAACTACTGATTCTTTTCCTCTACCTTCAGGATGCTGGAATTACAGGTGCCACCACACCAGGTCAAACTCAGCGTTTCCTCTACTAAATGAGCTCCAGCTCCATCAGCCAACCCTGATGTTTTATTACAGACTGACTGCAGAGCAGGGGCTTAAAACAGAGGTCCTGCACCCACTGGCAGGAGCTCTCCTCTACTCACTACGAGAACATTACTGCAGGAGCCACCACAGTGATGTCAGCCTCAGTCTACACAGCCTGCCAGTTAGAATCTGCCTATGTTGCCAGCGCTGTCCTATTCCTGTATCCGTGGGGCCACATGATCTATCTGCAGAGTCAGCCAAGGTTCAGCAAGACTAGCTTTGGTGCTTCAATACTGAAATCTAGGGTAGAGGCTCCTACCTGGACAGCCCCTTCAGGAAGCATACAAGAGGAAGACAGAAAACCAAGGAGGGCCTTCCAGATGCCTCAGCTATCCAGCACCCACCTCAGTCAAACAACACTGGTCTTCAAGGTAAATTCTTACAAACCTGTTGCCACTTATGGAAGTATATAGAAAAGAACACACACAGCATGTGGTCAGGTGTGATAGCATACACCTATAACTCCAGCATGCAAGAGGTTGAAAAAGTAGGATTGCAAGTTCAAGGCCAGCCTGAGCTAACCAAATTCAAGGTCAGGCTGGGCTATATATAACCTGCCTTAAAAACCCAAAGCTATCTGGGCGGTGGTGGTGCACATCTTTAATCCCAGCACTCAGGGAGGCAAAGGCAAGCAGATCTCTGAGTTTGAGGCTAGCCAGGTCTACAGAGTGGGTTCCAGGACAGTTAAGGTTACAGAGAAACCGTCTCAAAACAACAAAACCCAAAACAAACCCCAAAGCTAAATATACGAGCTGAGGATGTAGCTCAGTGGCAGAGCTCTTGCCTAGCATGTACCAGGCGCTGGATTCCAACCTCAGCATGAGGAGCTAGAGAGAATAGATAAATATGGCTGTAACAGTTAGTTAGCCACACTAAAACCAAACAGATGGCAGGCCATGGCATGAAGTAAGACCAACAAAAGGACTACCCCACTGCATGGCTAGGACCCCGAGGAGAGGAAGGTTAGACATACCCTTCACGGAGGCCAAAGCTGTTGGGCGAGCCATTGTAGCTTGGGGATGGAGTGCTGTTCGCCTGGTAGGGTACGTCAGGCCACGGAGAGCACTGTGGGTAGGAAGAGACGCAGGCAGTGTGATGCAACAGCGGCAACAGTGATCTTGGGATGATAACCCACAGGCCCTTCTGAGCAAGCACTCATGAGCAAGCTCTGATTCCCAAGACCCTGTTGTGTCAGCATAGAGACCACAGCAACTGAGAGCTTATGAGGAACCATGGCCAGTCAGACTACTAGGGTCATCTACCATGATAGAAAATACCTAGAACTCAAGAAGTCATCCTGATCAGGCCCATGAAATTCATTTGAGCTTCCTGGTAATCAAACCAATGGGGAAAGAAGCATCATATAATGCCAAAGCCCACAAACTAACTGGTCAAATATGTTTAAGCATGCATTATACAGAGGATAGATGACTTCTAAAGAAAAAGAAAACAGTAAAATGCAGGGCTAAAACTCATGCCACTGAGTAAGAAAACTGCAGGCAGGGAGGGCTGGCACAGGTAGGAGGGGTCCTGGAACTCTTCCAAGAGTAGCTCCTCCCAGCCAACTTATACAGTTACTCTATGTTAGTGTCCATCTGGGCTCCAAAGATGGAAACACACATGACGTGAGTCTTCCTCTGCTGGACATTCATTACAATGCACAAGCAAAAATGAAGAGACCCAGCTGGGAGTGTTGGTGAGAGAACACAACTTCCAGGGAAAGGGAGTGCCCCATGCCTGCATTTCTTCCCTCTCTCTGAGGCAGTGACTTTGCTTGGAGAGGGCCAGTCTGAAGCATTCCTAAAGACTGACTATCCCCCACCAAATGCCAGGCTGGTAAATATTTAACCATTGTGAGTATGAGCTGGAATTTGTTGATGCTAAATCCTACCAAGGGAGGAAATCTGATGAGCCGATAGAAGGGGTGCACTGGCATCTCCCAAGGTCAGAGTCTGGATTCTTTACACCAGCCATGCTGATAGAAAGGCTGTGCTGAGGGCCTGTACAGCCACAGCCCCCTCTGTTTTCTCAGGGGAGTCAAGATTGGAACACAGAAGTTGCATGCAATTCAGCCAGGATGAGAAACCCAGCACTAGATGGGGATATTCCTGGAAGCGTCATCAGTCAGACATGGGCCAGGCATGGGAAGAAACTAAGTGAAATGCAGTCCTTGTATCTCTCTGTGGCAGAGAGCAAGCAGAAGTTTTCCTATACTGAGCTTCCTGCCCACTGTCACCCTTAGAAAAAAATAAAGTGCCAGTGCATACTTGTGAGCCATATTAGCCTTTTACCCTGAAACGCAAAATGTTCCTCCCAGAGTGGCTTAGCACATACATACACAGGCATATATGCACAGCTGGGACCTGGCCACCCCTCTTGGATTTCTGTACCCAAGTCTTACCATTAACATAGCCTGACCACCCTGGGTCGTATATATACGTATATGTATGTGTATGTACGTATGTATGTGTATACACGTATATATATGCCTTTAAGATGAATCCAATTAGTCAAAATCACTAACACAATAAGGAATAGCTATTAAAAACAAAAACAAACAACAAATACCCAGGGCTGGGCAGTGGTGGCACAAGCCTTTAATCCCAGCACTTGTTAGGTAGAGAGACAGAGGATCTTTGTGAGTTTGAGGACAGCCAGGGCTGCACAGAGAAACCCCATGTGGGAAGGAAGGAAGGAAGGAAGGAAGGAAGGAAGG